CGTGCACAGCCTCGCCAAAGAATGCAGGGTGGCGATGAAGATAAACTTCGCGATCCTTGGGCTGATTCCACTGAGCGTTCAAGAGCAAATCCTTGGTATAGAGGAGCTTTTCAATCTTCCTCGCGTTGAAGTTTCTGCCGTAAGGGATAGTCTGTCGTGGAGTCAGTAAAGAAAGAAGAAAAATAAGGGTTGGACTTCTTACAAAGGTGTGGTAATCAGACACTTGGTCTTGTTCTTGCCAATCGGGAACCTCATCCTCCCAGGCATCTTTAATGTTTCCTCTCAATTCCTTCCCCTGGCGACGACGCATGTAGATGTTAAGAGCAGGGCGACCCCGCTCCTCGCGTCTCTTTTGGAGATAATTATCTCTGTCTTGAGACTGGGGGAGTTTCTCTAGAACCAGAAGTCGGGCGAGACCTTCAGTCCTAGTAAAGCTCCGTTCAAAGATGGTCTTTTCGGCAAGTTAGCTCTATATCTCCCATTCACTATGTATTCGTACTCACCGGATCAATTTTCGACCTGTCAAGCGGGGACCAGAAAACTTCGAATCCACGATGGGAATACTTGGAAAGTCGATTTTCGTATGATGGCGATCGTCGAGTTAAATCCACCTGATTGATTTGCGTCATGTACGCGGCAATTGCGCGTGGAGAGGCAAACACCTGCTTGCCGTCATAGGCAGCGCAAGAAACATCAACGTCGAACCCGGTAAGAATCTCAGCGATCGAACGATAGATTCGAAGAACGATCTGGACATGCCGGTTTGGGTATTGCGAGGCAATTGTGATCGTGTTCTTTGTTCGAATAGTCGTGGTTTCATAGAGAATGGTGTTGCGGATCTTGTCTTCGATATGCTTGATCTTGTCAAGTGCCTGTTCCTCGGTCAAGCCATACAAGAAGAGATCCACATCGGATGCTGGAGCAAACTCCTCGTGATAGTACTGGCGAAGGCCCCTCTTGGAGTTGCGATATTTCTCGGGGACGGGCAGAAGGGAAGTCACAACAGCACTACCGGCAGCAACCACGTTCGACCAGTCAATCTCGCTGAGTGAGCCCTCTGTGAAGAGAGCAAAGTTGTGTTGGAATTCATCCAAAGTCGGCACAACTGCGGGGGAGTCATTTGGCTTTCGAAGCTCATCACTCAGTGGCAAGATGTACTTCTCCTTTTCCTCTGGTGTCTCGGATGCAAGGTCTCTTGCTCGAATACGAACATCTGCGGAACGATTTTGGTCGTATAGTGGCACAATGTTGACATGATTATCTTGGATAGAAGCATGAGATGGAGCTTGGGCAAATGTCTGACGCAAAACAGCATCGTACTTGACATAAGGCTCAATCAGATCTCTCATAGGCCTTTCTGGGTTGGATTTCACGTAGGCCAAAAAGTCATTATGTTTGACGGGAAGAGGGGGCAAAGAGAACGCCATTATGTAGATGATTTGGTGAAAGGATATTTGCAGTATGAGAGATAAAGTAGAATAGCAATGAAAGAGTGATAGATTGAGGTTTAAATAAGACGACGTTGATACTTTGGATTGTTTTAGTTCGGCTGTTGGCATTAGGGGCCAGGCAGCTTTAGGCAACAGACCCCACTATAAACACAAATAACCAATGATATCCGGCTCTCCGTACGACTGCCAAACATCAAAGGATCTCGCTTCGTTGGCGCTTTCTATGGCACATTATATGCGCTGTTGTTCCACAATTAACCACCACAAGTTTCAAGAACATACCTAATTCAGGCAGCATCGCAACTCTGCCTAGTCACTCTATTTTCAGGTTTATGCAGGTTTATGCAGATAGTTAGAGTACCGCACAGTTGATACCTAAGGTGTCACAATGATGTGTGTCAGTCCTGTTCCAAATATTCACATATTTCCAATCTTCCGCTGTGTGCCAATCCCAGCTTTGTTGAAAAATGAATCACATCTATATTGGGGTATTTTTGATGCAACAGATCCACTTACAGCACGATCAACCAATCACTTCCGTATATGTACTGCCAAGAATATCAACCCCTTAAAGTCAACAAGTCACCGTTCTGTTGCCTCTTGCTTGACACTTCCTAAATAACCAATCTGGGAAACCTGCCGTTTGAACTCTTCACTGTGCTTGATTTGGCTCTGTACGATGAGTCCGACACCCAGCGTCTATGCAGACTGAGCCTTCTGAGCTGCAGATGGTATGCAGCTTTGCTTGGTCGCATATACAATAAGTGGTCCTATAATGGCGCAAGACGGCCATTCATGGCATTCTGAAAATTTGTATGCATAGTCTGCAGTGATGTCTATATCGCGTCACTCGTGCGAAGTTTGATTGTTGAATATACGCCCGCGCAGTTGCTGGTAGACCACCTAATCAAATCCAGCTTCCGCCGGAAGAGAAAGAATTGAGATGCATCACACTAGAGAAGGTGGAAGCCCTTGTTTATGACGATGGAAAAATAAAGGAGCCCTTTCAAAGATTGAAAGAGGTTTGCGCTGAGAAAGACATCATTCTTCAGATCGAAAAGCATGATTGGTTACCGATGGGTGGAAAGTGCAATGATTCATGTGCAGAAACCTGGTGCATGTGGAAAGACGGTTGTCAGTGAGCTTTGGCGGTTTCTGAGAAATTTCGAGACCATGAAGAGCTAGCTGCTCTTTCACTAAGCCGAATATGCACACCCCGGCCAAATGTGCCGTACTTCGTAGAAAAGAAGTCGTCCAACTATAGTTCTTAGTCCGAACCAGACGGCGGACTTTTTATTCCATTTCAATCAGAATAGTGTTTGCATTTAGCCTCCCTTGTGCTTTCCACACAATTGCTTCGATGGAGTCACTGACGGACTAAGGTTGTCGAGGATAAAGGCTAGGACTGACTCGACCTATATGTTTCTCAATGAGCCCCCATAGTTCGGTGTTCTCCCCGACTTAGAAATAGAATACCTTATGGCTTTGACAGCAATTTCTGCGTGGGGTTGACATTATAGCCGGCATTCGTTCCCGGGGACTGGTTTCGGGGTCTGATCTCAACCGTTGATTGGCCAGTCCGGGAGTATTCGAGCGGATCGGCATAAATGAAGAAAAACCCATTTTCCTGAATTTGAGATTCGTTGTTATTTTATATTCTGATTGCGAGTTGAATATGGAAGCGCCGCCCGATGGAGGTTATGGTTGGGTGGTTGTTGGTGCGATCTTCTGGAACAATGCACACCATTGGGGTCTTGTCTCAGTAAGTTGTCCCAAAAATTAAGACCGAGTTACTGAACTGATCTTATTTAGAGCTATGGAGTTTTCCTGGCCTACTTTCTTTCCAACTCAGATTTCACCGAAGGTACTAGTCTTGACTATGCATTCATCGGTGGATTGTCCGCCTCGCAGGCACTACTTATGGCACCGCTTGCGTCCGTTATCAATCGGCGGTATGGCCTGAAAGTCGCAATGAGCCTGGGTGTCATTCTTGAAACTGCGGCTCTTCTAGGAGCATCGTGGAGCACAAAAGTTTGGCAACTATATCTGAGCCAAGGAGTCTGCTTTGGCTGGGGACTAGGTCTCCAGTATGTGTCGACTATTCCACTTATCCCGCAATGGTTTGCAAGACACAGAAGTCTTGCTGCAGGTTTGGCTGCTGCTGGAAGCGGTACTGGGGGCTTGATATATTCCCTGGGATCCAATGCCATGCTCGAGCGGTTTGGCTACGGCTGGACATACCGCATCTTGGCCGTTGTGCAGTTAGTTGTTAACTGTGTTTGTTTGCTTCTCATTCGAGACCGTAACGAAATGACTGGAACTAAGACCTCAAATCTCAAGATCTCTGATATCTTCAAGCGATATGAGCTATGGCTGTTTTGGGGCTGGAGCTTTTTGAGTATTATGGGCTTCATGATCATCTGGTACTCGCTAGGTGATTTCGCCAGAAGTCTCGGTCTCAGCTCCCACCAGGGATCTGTCGTCACAGCAGTTATGAACTTGGGCACCATCATCGGTCGGTCAGGTACAGGATGCGTCAGTGATCATCTTGGGAGAATGAATACGGCGTCCTTTGCGACTTTCATTACTGGTGTGCTGTGCCTTGTTCTTTGGACTTTGGCCCAGTCCTATGCTGCGACCTTGTGCTTCGCCTTCTTTGGAGGGTTAGTCTTTGGAACCTTCTGGATGGTGAGTGAACCCCTCGATATTCCAAACACAGGACGTGGATACTAATCTAAGATGTAGGCCGTGGCTCCGCTCGCAGCCGAGGTGGTTGGCCTGAGGTACATGCCCTCGTGTCTGACACTCACATGGGTGGTTTGTGTGATTCCAGCAACTTGTAAGTCAGAAATATGTTCTTAACATATCGATTGTTCTTTGGGTGCTAATTTATGACAGTTGGAGAAGCGATTGGCCTCAAGCTCCGAACTAGCGGAGATCGTGAATATCTTCATGTCCAACTATTTGCTGGCTTCATGTATATCGGGGCCTCGATATGTGTGTTCATGCTTCGAACCTGGAAGATGTCTACTCTTCCCGAGCCATCCAGCGAACCACATATATCAGCAGATTCGAAAGAAACTGCGATAGTCTCTGTGGAAGCGAATGACCGCCGAAGCACGCTGAAGCACTGGATGAAATTGAACAAAGTCTAGGACTGACACGGAACCCGAGTCTAGCCACAGTCGCAACGAGAAATGATCTCGCACCCCCACTTTTCGGCTTTTAACAATATGCATGTAGTAATGAGAATGACAAAATTGGATACGAAATACGGGCATTTTTGTTTTCTTGCTCCATAGAAGATTTCAACCAAACATGTACGCTAAATGTCATAGGAAAAAGAAGGTCAGAGTAAATTGAGAAGGGAACGCCGGAGATAAACAAGCCTGTCGAGAACAAGATAGATGCGTAAAGCTGTCGTGATAGAGATGGGATGTATGACGATAATGCAAGTGGAGAGTGAACGCTGGTAAAAAAATGCTGAAGTATGGAAAGATAGTGCAAGCGAGGCAAGAGCATGTAATCATCTGCAGTACATTAAATTCATCATTCATAGATCGGCACTCTGCGCGAAGGGATATATCCTGGGTCTTCGTGCACAGTCTCGGGAGTGTACCGCTTCGCAGCAGCGCTCCTTGGGCTGCCCCAGCCTGAGGCACGGTGGAAACCCGCACTGCTGTACGATCGTGGTCTTTCAGAACCGCTTCCTCCACTGCCGGGTCGGCTGCCGCCTGTACTTCCCCCGCTGTAGCTTCCTCGCCTCATTTCCTCTGCGGCGTAAGGATCTAAATGCCGCGGGACTGCTCGGGGTGGGGGTGGGGGTGGTGTAGGTGCTCTGTAAATTGGTGGGTCTGGGGCGGCTGGTGCTGGGACTGAATCTCCAAATATGAATTCGCGGAATTTCACACCTGCACCTGCTCTTGAACGGGAGCGGTCTTTGGTGTGCATTCTAGGTGTTGATTCAGGATGGGATCGGCTGGATCGGCTGGATCTTGAGGAGTGACTTTCGTGACTACGGCGCTGTTCCCGAGGTGCCGGGGAGAGATCCCGCATCGGTCTGCGCATGTAGGCCTCGTGGGAGTGTCGCCTGGCACTATTGCTGGAAGGGGGTGATAGATTACGTCGCTCGCGGTGACGGTGTTTTGATGCACGCTCCTCGGCCTTGCGGTGGGACTCATCAGACGATAAATCTGAAACATCCGGCATCTCGCCAGACCCGGGGCTAAGTGGGTGGCTCTGGAAAGCGGCATGGTCTCGACCCCTTGAGCGGGGCGGGCGCTCAGGCCATGGGGGTGGAGATGAAACCCGGGGAGTTGAATAGCCTGATCTAACACCTGGTCTACGTCCCGTAAATGCAGGGTATTCTGCACTGGGGCGTCGGTGATGACGATGTCCATGTCGTTCAGGTTCCACGTTGCTGTGACGTTTCGATCCACTGCGCCTTGAAGTGCGGAAATAATCATCCTCGTCAGGCAGGGGGTCCTTTCCACTGAAATGGTAGTGATATGTTCCAAAGTCTGGGGGTGATTCGCGCTTTGAGTGTCTTTTCAAGTAATCGTGCTCTAGTCGCCGACTCACACCTTCATGCCACTGCAACATTTCGGGGTCTGGTTCAGAGGGAAACGCATCCCTAGGAATTGTTTTGGGAAGTATGTGACCATCTGCATCTGGAATATCCCATAGACTAACAGCATTTTGCAAATACTGTGAATGTTCATCCGGATCCATCAACAGTTGTATTGTCTGCCATCGCACAAAGCCGTTGGGGAGTAAAGATGGGACTGAAGGTGGTTCGTAGGGATTTGAGGATGGCTGGAGACTATGAAAGCATCCTAGCGACTGATAGATGAAAGACAAGGCCTGCGACTTGGTCTCGAGGAATAAAGGGTCGTAGTTACCGCCCACTTTGCGATAGAAGCTCGCCAGTCGCTCGGGTGTAATATCGGTCGTCCCGTTGGTATCAAATGTAGGCTAAGATAAAATACCATGTCAGTACCATTCTTCCGATCTCACTTTCAATCTGTAGACGCGAGAACTGACCATCAACTGCGCGATCCCCAGACACAGGTGCTCCAACAGCGGGGCTGGGCTTTTGTCGGGATTGATCAGCGTACCCCAGTGATTCTCTGCAGAAGACATGGTAAGAATGTAGGAGCATGCAAGGCGATTGCAGCATCTCCAAGTCCAGGGAAGTCCAAAATCGGAAGTCCAGAAGCCCAAGAGATAAACAGAGCGGTCAGGCACGGGACCCACTGCGGGGGAACCAAGGGACGCGAAGTATATAAAGGTTTGTTTGTTTACTGAGATGTATTTCGTTTATATGAATGCAGTAGCTGAATACCTGAAGCTGAGAATGATACATTGTACTGCATGTGATCTTTCCCGTGACTCACATACAGTTGACACTGTTGCGTGATGTTTGAAGCCTAATGTGGCGCATCGTGACCCAATCAGCGGGTGGTTGACTCGATCGGGCTGAGTAGGAACACTTGGTGATTATTCAATTACTATCGTTAGATTGGCTTCGTTTGTGCCTAAATCTCACTTGCCAGGTACTTGGTCTTCGGGTACATCAGCCACGTTACTTATGTCACACCATGCAGCATGTCGGGGTTTATTCGTATTCCCGTAAGTTCCGACACTGGTCTATGGCTCGCCACTTTATCTTCATGTCACAGATGAGGTCACACTGAGCCTCCTTATGCGGTCCATAAAGAGAGGTTCGGCCATGAGGACATAGCATCAGTCATGGACGGATCCAATAAGTCAAAGTCGACATCGGGCTGTGCCAAGAACTCCTCCATACTTTCACCCAGGAAGGACATGTCGTTAATGAGGGTTCCTGGGGCGATAGCCTCAGGTACACTCCCCATAAGGCCCAGGTCACTGGGTCTCCTCCCTGAAAGAGGGGGGTTTATTGAAGGATGCGCGCCGCTTTGATCGGTTGCAAAGGATTGGTCGAACTGAAGGGAAGGCCTCGACTCAGATCCACCCTGTTTCTCCAAGCATTGCCGGACACACTCGAGATTATCATGAAACTCGGTCGCAGCGAGATTTCCATGGTTACTCATGGCCCGAAGAATTTCAACGGCTGCCTCGAACAAGGCAAAGTCACCCCCGTTCTCAGGATACACCTGACTTGAAATGACCATGATAAGCGCCGAAGAAAACAAATAGTGGGCATAGAAATAGCCGAAAATGGGGAGCGATCCGTTCGTCCATTCTTCCAAGATAAGTGAGTGAGTGTGTCTTGCCGCATGGATGCAGGCGTCGCTGAGTGTTTTGAGGGTTTGACGAATGTTTGTATGAGCGGCATCTTCTTCAGGTGGCTCTGGGCATGTAGATTGGATAAGAGCGTACAGAAGGACCGGCCGGCTGGTCAACATTATACACTGCGCTTGATTAGACTAGATTATTCGATGCTGGACTCGATCGTCACTCACTTGGTTGAACTGAAGATGCAACGATATGACATTCTTCGGGATAGGATTCTCGCGATTGAGTCTGATGTGAGGAGGAAGAGCGCAAGCCCACTGCTTCAAAGAAATGAGAAGCTTCTGTTCGCGCTGCAGAAAGGACTCGGGGTGTTTCTTTCGGCTATACACACGGTCGATGACCTGCCCTGTGATCCTAGCCAATTGTATACTGGCTGTCAAGAACTCAGTGTCTGAGAACTGTTCGTTGTGGATGTCGCTCGGCACATTGGATGGCATCTCGACGTGGATATCCTCGTCGGCAATCTGAATTGGCCAACCCACTTTCGAGCCATACATTCGGTCAAACACGTAGATCCCCCACCATAATCTTGTTCGATGCTGGCGGTCGACTGGATCAGGACATTTGCATTCAGGGATATCGTGGTTCAACCCCAAGGTTAAGCCCAAACGCATCGCACTGCCAACGAGCAAAAAGGCAGAGTGGCGTCTGTTCAGGAAGAATGAGTACAGCGACTAAATCTATTAGCGATGATCATGCAAACCAATACAATCTTGCTTACCAAAAGCAACAGAGTCTCGATATGCGTCAGGCTCGGACGTTCCGGTAGAATGGGTATTAACGTCATCGCATTGACATAATAAGCAGCACCGGGAACATTGCATTCAAGCGTCGAGTTCGATCGTGCCGAGTACACTTCCCCAAGGGCAAACAAAGCAAATAATTTGCACGTCAAAACTGGATCATCGAAATTGCCATCGCGGTAGGCATCTTCCAGCTGATCGATCGTCGACTTGCGCAGCACTAGATGATATACCCGGCTAACCTGGCTGAATACAATTTGAATCAATAGCCGAGCTTGAGGGAGACTTGGCCATTGGATTGCGGGATTCCGGATTTTCATCAGTGTTGACTCGGGCGTGTACTGTGTGCGAGGCATATGAGTTGTCGTCTCGCTCTTTGTGAGAACCTTGCGAAGTCGGGTGGCGAATGCTGTACATGCTGCTTCTCCGATATGAATCGGTGGTGATGATGGGTCATAGGGCTGGAACCAGGCCCGTTCTCCCAGCATTGGGTTTTGGACATGTGTATCTGCGGCAGGTCCAGTGATATCTGAAGAATATGAGCAGGAGTTTTCGGGAAGGATGCACAAGAACCGAATACCTTGATCAGGAACTGAATCTTCCCTTGGAGTAAGAAAACCCGATGACTGAGACAATTGGTCCCGCAATCGCTGGTTTTCCGCTGCGAGTTCGTCGATATAACTTGGACCGTTAGCTTCCCCACGGCAAAAGTGGCAGTGGATCATACCTCTCGTGTACTTTAATTTGGCGATCTCGATTCACATAACGGCAATCGGCGGGGCAACCGGCTTGCCGGCATTTAACACAGGGCTGGCCTCCACTGCACTTTATCTTGTGAGAGTGGCATCTTTGGCAGCTGTTGTAAGATTAGTGGGCGGATTTCTTACTGAACCTGCCACACTTACGCAATAGATTTCTTTTTCTGTCTCCGAATAGCCGGATCAGACGTCTTGGACACTTTCATTACGGGGTCTCACGTCGGTATCGATGTAGATGAAAGAAATGAAAGGGAGGAATTTTCTCAAGCCGGCGTTGACGGTCGGCAAAACCTTATGTTGCCGAGTGGCGAATCCCGCGTTACCCAACATAGGTAGACAAGTCGATAGTAATAGCAGAATTCAACAGTGATATTTTTCAAGGTTAACAGTTGGCAAAAAGAGCCTGTCTTCGGCAGATTTGTCGTTATTCTGTATCGACATAGGGATTGCTTATCCTATGCGGCTCAGCTCTGTTCGGGAAAGACACTGTTTGCCGACACATCAAATGTGTAGCCGAATCTATGTGTTTGCAATTTAGGAAGACTACTTTATGTTGTAATCCACAATATATGATACGAATTGTATATCTCTTTGTCTTTCAGGCCCCATCATCTTCCGGATCAAATGCCAAGATCACCCCGACTTCGCCGGTTGGCTGAATAGTCCGTCTTCGAGTGGAAGGGGCCTTGCTTGTCTCCCCAAGTGCTGTGATCGAAACTACTTCAAATACGTGCGAAGGATATGACTACCTGAGCGGATGAGCCAGTCTGCCTACCAGTTCTCAGAAAGTACGTCATCTATCTCCTCGGCAACAACCTGACACTATTCAAATCAAGAATGAAAGGTTGATGTGTTGTTTCAAGTCTGTTCTCCAGAGTCACATCTCCTTCGATGCCCCTTTTGCCAGTCCGATACACGAAAGGTGGTACAGGTACAAACACGCTGTGGCTATGTCTGCGGTTCCCTCGAATGGAAGATGAAGGAGAGCCTGGTTCATATATCTCCCTACTATTATCTCCATAATCATGGACTATAATCCCCTTGTTTTTGTGATACACTTTGATTGATTGATTGACCTAAGTTGAAAAAAGACCAATCTGATATTTACAGGCTCTTTACCACTTGCTTGCACCTTCAATTCTAATTCTATATCATATTCCTTCTCCTTGCTGAGCATAGAATGGAGTTAAGAATGTTGGGCACCTAATTGTATACATTCTAACTCGCACCACGTGACGGTATAGTCTGGCTAAAACCGTCAGCTCCAACCTCCAACACACGTCGTTTTGCGCCGACACCCATCTTTATCACTGGATTCGAAGAATGACACTTGTTCGCCCGTTGTTCTCTGTGTACAGGTTGGGCAGTCCCAGATGATCAGGTGCTAACCCTTGGTCCCTCCTTCGGCTTGATCAAGGCCAATTTGGGATCACCCTGAAGAGGACAGGAGGTGTGCACTTGGTCATCTGGTTGTGATTTGACATCGCACGCGACCAAAACACAACAATAACCGTCGTGAGATATAGTTGGAAAAATGTGAAAACAAGAGGGGTTCATTTGGAGAAATCGAGCTGACACAACCTATCACCTAAGCAGCAAGCGTAAATAGATCAACTCTAGGGCCACACTCCGTTTCATCCACCAAATTTAAAGCTTATTTTTAATTCCAGAGCTTTGCTTAAGATGGGGATTGAGCACGTCATGGCTATGTCTTCTTCCGTGGTGCTAACTGGTAAATCGGCGAGATGGTTTTTTACCGACGTGCGCCTCCAGAATAGTATTTAAGCTATGCATGCCGAACACGAATAGACATGGAAGAAAATCAAAAGTACAACCATGAAGTCTTCAGATATACATTTCTTTGTCAATGCCTCGGAGTCTTCAGTCTTCAAGACTCACGACACAATCAATGGTGAGATTCTATTTACACCACACCAACAAACCGATATCGACGATATAAACATCTCGTTCCAGGGTATGCTAGCATGTTTCAAGTGACAATATAATCGATATTAACAGAGTGAACAGGCAATGCAAGAACCGAAGTTGAAAACATGAATACGCATGTCCCACTCCCATACAACGAACTCCGAAAAACATTCCTTCGCATGGACATAGCACCACTCGACTATTTAATAGATACAAACACTCTCAGTCCCGGCAAGACGTATCGAATTCCCTTTAATTTTGTTGTCCCAGACCAACTCCCCATCCACGCCTGTCACCACCAATGCTCCAATCCCCAGATCCACCAGGAACATCTGCACCTCCCCGCAAGTCTCAGTTACCAAACACACAAACCCAATGTCCGCGATATGTCACCAGAAAGGGCAGAAATTATCTACAGCATCAATTTCGTGTTATGGCAGCGAGACGGCAAGGCAGGACGATCCAAGAAACTCCAAGAAGCAACATATCCAGTTCAAATCCAGCCCACGCGAGAAGAGCATGCTCCAATTTTTGTTCCAGGGAAGAATACATACTACCAGCTACAATCTCAAAAGTCTGTCACAAAGGGCCTGTTACGACATACCCTAGGCCAGCTGGAGGCATCCTCCGCCCAACCACCGGCGATCCAACTCCACAGTCCCCAGCCACATAACGATGTTTCGACGACGCTGAAAATTGATCTGCGGTTTCAGCCTACACGTACGAGTCCGGCACCGCCATCTCTTCTGGCTGCGCAATTTCAGCTTCGAGCTATGACATTCTTTGGACTGGAGCCGTGGCGGGATTCTCCTGATTTGTCTGATATTTCCACATGGGGTTCTCGTCAAGCTTTTTGGTCTGAGCATGTGGCTCTTATCGCCGATCGTGATATTATGGTGGATTGGGAATCCCATTCAGAGAAAGGTCAGGCGGTTTTCACGGCTGCGATCCAAGTGCGTGTTTCACTGCCGTGTCATCGACGCTATCCGACTACTTTCCACTCGTGTTTGGTATCTCGCGTCTATGCTGTGAAGGTGAATCTGTTCTATCGGGCGCATGGAAAGGCGAGAGGTACTTCTTCTATATCGTTGTCTGTTCCAGTGGAGATTTGTGCATGAGATTGTTTTGCTTTTAATATGCGAAATTTCAAGACTGGGACTTGTTGATGATAAATAATATGAGAGCACATAAACATTCATCAAAATACATTCCATTCGTGACAAGGAAGTTTTGCTGCCGAGACGATAGACTTTTGGAGGTTTCCCACGCGCGTGAAGGTTCGCTATAAATCGATCACACCCGTGCATCACCGGACTATTAAATCCCAATTGACGACTATTTGGCAGCCAAGATCCCGTGTATACGCTTTAACCAGATCACACATTAAGCGTGCATTGCAAATTAGATTAGTTCGCATTCCTAACATCAAGTCTGGAGTTTGGGACATTCCGCGATCGACATGCCATCCACAGATGGCATTTGATCTAACCAATAGCCTTTGGTATGGCATATCCCCGGGTATTCCAGAGCATATAAACAGTGGCAGCCTGTGGATCATAACTGGATGGTATTCCAGCCATCAACAGCCTGCGCTGCTCGTTGAATTCCACCGGCATTGCTGTCGCCCCCTCTTATCTGGACAATAAGTGCTGTAGATGCCCCTATCTAATCTTGTCTTTTGCAACTGTGTCTATCTCCTCCTTCCATATCCCAACTATCTAAATCTGGCCTCAATATCGTCAGTTTGCTACACCTACATCCGCGCTGGCCCTGTTTCACAGCCAGTCAAGCATCCCTTGACGCGTCGGTCAACACAACACAAACAACTCTCGACCAGCCCATCCTATTTGACACACCTCTACATACACAATGGCTCTTGTGAGAGACCCATTCTTCTGGAAACGCTTCTCAACAGCAGTCCACATGGACGAAGAAGCCAAAGCTGTCGACCAAGGAACACAAACTACACCTGCCCCGTATGTCCCCCTTCCATCCCTCGCATCTAAACTTCAACTGACACCTCCCAGAACATCATGGCTATCACGGGAGCGACGGAAACGCAAGAGATCTATCATCTACGGCTTTATAATCTTCTTCGCCGTCGTTTTTGCCGTCGCAGCGAGTGTCATTGTCTGGTGGCTTGCCAAGAACAACTGGCTCCAGCCTGGACCTGATGAAACACCTTGATCATCAGGGACAGTGGCTTTATTTGCATGGAATCGGAAAGCGTTTGGTTTGGGTTGGCAAAAATGTGTTTTGGGATTTATGCATGGATGGAGATATACCCGCCACATCCTCCAGTGGCTTTGCATTATAAATAGTTATATAATTGGTCTCAATATACATACAACATACAATATCCCTATCCAACTGTATATCTCGCCTATCATCTACTCCAAATCGCCTATCTACCGAGCGCATGCACCTGCCGTAAGTGGACTAGTGAGAGCTGTTATCAACTCGATCAACTTCCATTTAGATTCTTTCTCTCTCTTGGACATCATTTAGTTCATAGCCTCTCACTTCGTACCTCTTACTTTCTACTATTTACCCCAAATTCAATCGACTCTTCCAGTGTTGTCGTAAGGCAAACACCGGCTAACCTCGGCCCTTCGCATTCTCCACTCCCCCGCATAAATAACCCCAACTTCTCCCTTCTCCTCTTTACACCGCAACATACAACATGTTGCCTCCATTCGATTATTTCGCCTACAAGCGTCTACGGTGAGGTCCCTATTCCCGTTTACAGCACAGTCAGTTAACTAACATATCCCAGAGACCAGAAACAAAGAGAGCGCGAACTCCGCTTCACAACCGGTCTCCCGCACTATTACCATCTCCGCATCGCAGCCGCAGATAAGAAGATCATCAACCAGCCCATTGAAAAGCTCGTTCATGATGTGCAGGACTCGACTGTCTCTGCCCTGGACGTGTTGCGCACCTATGGCAAGGTCGCCGTGAAGGCTCAGAAGGAGTCGAACTGTATTACTGAGCTGTTGCTCCCTGAGGCTGAATCTTGGCTGGAGACTGATGTTAACCTTAAGGGTCCTCTTGCTGGAATTCCCGTTTCTTTGAAAGATTCTATTCACGTTAAGGGCTTTGATGCCACTGTTGGGTATGCTGCTATGGCTGGTAAGCCTATCCTTGAGGATGGGCCTATGGTTAGGTTGTTGAAGGATGCTGGTGAGTATCTTCGGATTAAAGCTATTCTAGTTTTGTTTCTGTTATTTGGATGACTGCTGACTTTCTTAGGTGCTGTGCCCTATGCTAAGACTGCTCTGCCAATTACTCTTCTCTCTTTTGAGTCGACTAACGGACTCTGGGGCCAATGCCGGAACCCGCATTCCCCAGGTTACTCGCCCGGTGGTTCAACCGGCGGAGAGGCAGCTCTGTTGGCCCACGGTGGCCGCATCGGTATTGGTTCTGATGTTGCTGGCTCTGTGCGCGTTCCTGCTGCCTGGAGTGGTATCTATTCGTTACGCTGCAGTACCGGCCGCTGGCCTAAGGGTGGCGTGAGCACCAGTATGCCCGGCCAGGAAGGCATCCCCAGTGTCTTCAGTCCTATGGCTCGTACCCTGGACGATCTCACTTACTTCACTCGTTCCATTATTGGAATGCAGCCTTGGAAGTATGACTACACCGTTCACCCCATCGCCTGGCGCAACGAGCTCGAGTCTGAAGCTCAGAGCAAGCCTCTCCGTATTGGTCTGATGAGCTCTGACGGTACGTCCCATCCACACTCTATATTGAAACTCAAATCTAACCTGTCCAGGCGTCGTTCCCCCAACTCCAGCCATTGAACGCGCCATCACCACCACTGTCGCAGCCCTCACTGAAGCGGGCCACACGGTGTCAGAGATCACCACCCCACCAACCGCAGACCCCTTCACAGGCCTGAACCTCGCCTCGCAACTCCTCAATTCAGACGGCTGCCATCACTTCAACGCCCCTCTAAAGAGCTTCGAGCCCTCAGACCCAGGCGCCAGCCAACTCTCCCGCATCGCCCACCTGCCCCGCCCCCTCCGCTACCTCTACTACCTCTACGTCCGCTACATCCGTCGCGACGCAGTCTCCGCAGCTCTAATCCGCAACTTCGGTCCCAAATCCTCCGCCCAGCTCTGGACCTTAACCGCCCAACGTGAAGCATTCCGCGCAACTTGGCATAAATGGTGGGACGCAGACGCCCAGCAATACGACTTCATCCTCTGCCCGGTTAACGCAACACCTGCCCTCCCACATAACGCCATGCACGACGCCGTCTCGTCGTGCGGTTACACTTTCCTCTGGAATCTGCTCGATTACTCCGCTGGTGTTCTCCCGGTTGGTCACGTAGACGCTACCCGCGATGCCCTAGACACGCCCTATAAGACCGCTCTTAAGCGCCTAGGCGCCGATCACGGTATTGCCCGCGGTGCGTGGAAACACTATGATTCTGTCAAGATGGCTGGTCTCCCCACCGCTGTGCAGGTCGTTGGTCGCCGCTGGCATGAGGAGTCGGTGTTGGGATACATGGCTGTAGTGAAGAAAGCGCTGGACGCGTACCGCGACCCGCAGACTGGACTGAGCTGCAGATATACCCTGCTCGAGGTGGATTGAATATGGGAAGGGAAGTGATTTGAGGGATAGTATTCTTTCCGTCCGTACAATGCATGCAACCACAGTGATCTAGTAAATCTTGCCTGCATATTTTACCGATCTCCGAGACAATGCCTTACTCGCACTCCCACTCCCGTTCGTCTTCCCCTTGCCCCTCCCAACAACCCAACTACTAGTACTGTAAACCCTCCACTGGCGTAACTGATACCTCAATGTATGTACATGCAGTGTTACCCTCTGCACAAACTAAACCAAATATGGCACTCGTGCCGCGCAATACGAACATTAGACGATCTAGTCGAGACCAATGCAGATCTATAGCCCAAGACCCCCACCCCACCCCTCATTATGGCTTATGATTTGCTATGTCACCTGCAAGACGCGGGCGCGGATACGGATGCTCCGCATATCTGCACCATTTCTGCAGCGCTATCTCGGTTCGGATTGTGGGATTTGTTGGTTCTTTATGTTTGATTGGGCTGGGGCTCGTTTTTCTTCTAAGTTTGCCCGTGTAAGGGCTCTGTAATATTGAGTACGAGGGATCGACGGTTGACAGGTTCGGTTAATGGTTAATGGTGAATGCTATTGTTTCTGGTACATGTGCATGTACTATGTTTTTATGGCTGTCGGGTACTACTCTATGTATAAACACCGGGTCATATTGGGCAATTTCGAGTCTGTAACTGTAATTGTTGATTTTCTCTTTGCCAAGCTGTGCACGGTCATTGGGGCGGTTTCGGGTTTGACAGACGTCTAATGTACGAAGTGTGTGAACTGTCTGCTGAATAGGCATGTTTGGGATTATGTTCTATACCAGGCCAGCCTAATGTGTCTACTCTGAATAACTCAGTGGGATATTCCCAGTCCGAGGCACTGGAACAATACGGCAGAGATCAATAATACACTTAGCGCCGGGTGGGCTTGAGCTAATAGTTACTAGTCCGGGGTCTGTTCTTTTCCTCTTTGCTCTGCCGATTTTCCCGCACCCTGTGGCTGATGGCCTGATGGCTGAGGTCTGAGTGTGAACTCGCACCTCGTTTACCTATTGCTCCTATTAGCTACACGTATACCTGTGAGTTCAACCTTGCCACAGGGCCCTAGCGGCGTTGGTCTCCATCGCGGAGATTAGTTGGCGTTAGAGCGAACTAGTAGAGGTTGGTGCGTTAGTGGCTAACGGTGAAAGAAACATGACATATATAATTCAGGAGGCCGGGGAGATGTCCATGTAAGATATGTACTAACTATACAGTACTGAGGAAGTAAAAACGAAGTATTAAGTTAGTCTGGTCACGGGGCCCCCACTGCAGATCTACGGGCTTTTCTGACACTCCCCACTCTACATCTTCTTCACGATGCTCTTTTTCTCACACAAATGGCATCGAGAAAGAAACAGCCGCGGAAAAGGGATGACATCCATTTTGTCAACGCCAGACCAGCTTCTGAGACCGAGAAATTGAAAGCCCAGCGTCTGGTTCGCGCCCACGTCGGCCGCTGGATCTCCGACCAAACAAAAGACCGCTCTGAAGCTGCTGTGCGCCGTCCCGTCCGCGACCCCATTTCCCACGTATCTGCCAATGATCCTGGTGTCGGTCCGTCGTCGTACGCCCTCGTGTCGCGCTCCAGCAATCGCAACGTCCCTTTTTCGTTCGCGCAGCCTCCCCGTCAGTACTCGCCGTTTCCTCCGTCGCATCATAGTGATAGCAGTGATAGCTCCAGTGGTGAGGATACTGTGAGCGTGATCTCGACCGAGCAGCATGGCGTCGTGCGATGGCGCAAGCGCTCTTCTGTTGTCCGTGAGATATCAGGCGTCTTCGACCCTTTCGGCACATATCCTGCGCCCGCGCACTTTGATCCGGAGATAGTCGATCTGTCGGAGCGGTATATTACGACTGTCATCTGGCCGGGCCTTGCGCCGAGGCCGAACCACATTAAGGCTGCGGGTGAATCATGGTTTCCCTTGTCGATGGCGGACCCCGCATTGTTCAGCGCGTTCATGTTCGGGTCGCTATGTCATCTGCGCGTGCAATGGCAGAATAATTGGGTGCCGGGAACAGTATTCGGTCCAAGGCAGCGGCAATTACTACAGTTGTGTGAAATGGAATCCATCAAGTTGATCAACAAGGCTATGAGGGACCCCACACGCGCAGTCAGCGATGCTGTTATACTGAGTGTTATCTGTATGGCACATCATCAAGCCGAAGAGAAATTGGTTCAACAGCATCGGAAAACGGCTTTCAACCCGCCGTTCCCACGATTACAATGGCTTGATGTGTATGGATGTTTACCACCGAACATGATCCATATCCAAGGCTTAATACAGCTAGTCACAATGCGAGGCGGACTGCGGAATATCACCACAGCCGGTCTGGCCGCGACAATTTGCTTGTATGGAACCTCTATCAATTTCTATGACCCCCACTAACCTCCTCAGTTCCGCTATCCTCACTTGCAGTTCCCTCTGTGTAAACCCAGGCTTCGAATTCTGGCCTCTAGATGACACCCGCGAGGGTATGAACATCCATGAATTACTCGGTTTCACTCCATCAGATACAGACCACGGCTTCGCCCGCCTCCAAGCAATAGGCGCAACCCACGAAATGGCAGAAGCTTTCCAGGCAGTCCAGACATACATCGGGATCATCAAAGCTAGCCCGACATCTACGTCGGACGTCTCTCTTCTCGCCGATCGCCGTAATATAACACAACATACTCTCATCTCTCTCAAGCCTGCTTCGGAGTTGCAGCATCTCTTCTCGCATCCTACTCATGCATCTACTTATGAAGCGTGCCGTCTTGCCGCGCTGATCTTTGGCGTAGGCGTTATCTTCCCCATCCCCGCTCAAAATACCCCTCTTCATACTCTCGCACGGAACATTCAGTCTGTGCTCCTCCAGCCTTCTTCTTCTGCGTTGTGGTCTTCTCCTTCGACCCGCTTTGCCCTCATTTGGATTTTGACATTGGCTGGTATTGCTGCTCACGAAGCACCAGAGCGGACTTGGTTTGTGTCTGCTTTGGCCGATATCACTCGTCGCACTGGCTTGTCTTCCTGGGGAGGTCTCAAATCAGTGCTGGGCTCGATGCTTTGGTATGATGCGGCTTGTGACCAGGCTGCTGAGGCTCTCTGGTTCGAGGCGCAACGTACCCATCAACATCAACGTGCATATGTGCTTGTGTGAACATCTGTATACCCGGAGCCTGGGGTTACATGGTTACTCGACTCCTCTTCTCGGGTTGTTTGATACCAGGCGCAGTCTCGTTGAATGCCTATATCTCTACCTGTCTTCGCCTTTTACATTTTCTACCAAAGCTCTCTCTCCCACTCTCCTCCTTTCATCATCACCATCCTTTCCCTGCAATGAAGATATGCAAAATTATCCCACATGGGACACATATGACGTACCATCCCCTCCTCACCCTCATCGGTCATGCGGAACATATTCATGATACCCAAAAAGTGACAGACCAGAGTCTTGTACAAACGTGCGGATCACACTGGACACATTAACCTCTCCCTCTTTCCTCTCTCTCTCTCTCTCTATGTTTCCTGTTTCCTTTCTTATTCTCTTTGGATGAGATTCGATGGCTTGAATAATAATGCGACAGAAACCCCACCCAAAACCCCCAAAACCACTTTCCACCCTCAACATTTATGTCAGTCGATATAAAAGGGTGTCAGCTATGCTCTGGATATTTGGATTATATCGTGTATACTTGTTAAACTCTGTTTAGGTTGTTGAACTAGAGATATAATATATAAGATTCTCAATGCTACATATGGGACATTCTATCTTAAAGTAGTCCAGAGAGACATAGAATAGGAGGTTAAACAGAGAGCCATGTACATGCACATGCAGCCAAAGTAATCCCAAAGTAATCCAACACATCCTATTCCATACATATACATATACACTTGTAGTAACCGAGCTTAGCGCGCCAGCCTCTACTTGGGATAACCCCCAAAACAAACGCCGATGTCCCCACGGGGAAGAGCACAGACTGAGACACGATCGCCTTTCCAATGATTGCGACGGCCCGCACCGCAAGGTACTTTGTCGGGGGTATTTCGGCGTAACTCAGTGCCAATGCGTAGGGCTGATTTAGAGGTTATGTACACAAATCTTATCATAGTTTATGTTATAAATAGTATACGATGGATGTCCTCTCCAGTCACGGTGAGAGGGACATGTGGGACAGAGATAGGGATAAGGATAAGTTATACATTGGTGTAGTCATATGGATATGTCCATATGTGTACTGAGACTATATTCGTCGCCAGTATCCGACGACCTTTTCTCGTACATGAGCTAACGGCCAGCCATTTTCCCTCTCTATGCGTTGGAGAAGGTCGAAGATCAGGTTTTGGGCGAGAGGGTCGTCGATCCATGAGCCGCCTGGGTGATGTCAGTTGGTGTATGGATAACATGTTGGATCAGACTTACAAGCACGGAGGACGTGGGAAGCTGTAATTCGTAGGGGAGGATCATCGTCGGCAGAGAGGGCGATTCCGAAGATGAAATAGAGGTTTTCGATGATTTCATTCTGATGCTCGTCAGCAGTGTCCACGCCACACCCACACCAAAAAAGAAGAACATACCTTCAACCTGACAGGCTGCTCCAAATGTCTCATGCTCGGTTGCCAACCCTCCAATTCGCGAATCAACATCAATGCCTTGGCAAGGCAGACATGCTGTATAGCAGAAGCTAAAACCAAATCAGCACAAAACACATCAACCCAGCACACGAAGAACATACCATGCCAACAACTAGTAAACCAAGCAACAGGAAAAGGCTTCCCCCTAGCACGATCCGGCGGCGAAACATGCAAAGGCGCAAAAGAATCCGGCCTCCCAACCTCCCACTCAAGAATCCTCTGTCTCAGAGCCATCTCACCAACGGAGCCAAGTCGGCCCCCGTAATTTCGGCCCGAGACATTCCAACAGAAATCCACCGTCTCGGCCAACAGCCAAATCGCGCGATTAGTCCAGTCTCCGTCGCTCAGGACGGGCTTGGCGACCCACCACCGGCGGAGAACGTCGTCGAACGGGGCGAAGGTGAGCCGAAGGCATTTCTGGTACGTAAGTGCGAATTGGATGTCTTGGATGACGAAGAGCCAGAAGGAGGCTGTTGCTAATCCGCCGGATATTGCGCAGTCGACGTGAGCGCTTATGTAGACTGAGCCCGCTAGGAGGTGGCGTTGGTGGTCGTTCGAGGGGTTGCATGCTGTCCTTTTGTTAGTTCGGTTGGTGGGGGATAGGGATGGGGATGGTACATACAGGAGACTTGCTCGAAGAAGCGGAGCATTACTGTTGATGAGATGAGGAGGTCGATGCCGATTTCGGATTCCGATTTGTCAAGGACTGGGAGCATGATTGAGATGCAGCGTTCATGATACATGTCTTCCAGGTCTGCTGGGATGGTGTTTGTTGTTCGGGATAGGTGGCAGGCTGATACTGCTAGACATGCGTATAAAAGTAGAGAAGATGTGGTCGCGCGTTCGACTACATCGGTTGAGAAGTGTCGGAGAGGGTCGCATGCGTCGAGCTGCAATGTTAGTATAACGTGGGAACTGATCGGAGGGGAACTCACCCATGGTGCAAGGTGCTTCTGAAAATGGCGCAGTAGATATGCCTCGTTGATGTTGGTTAGTTTTGGCTGATTGTCAGGGGTAGGTGTCGATGAATGTGAGGTTGCTGAATTGGACCGCGAGCCAAGTTGCGAACAAGGAATGACCAGGTTTGGGGTTGCCATAGATGAATCCACTGCAGATGAAGGTGTCGAACGACCCTCAGAGGGTGATCTTGAGGCTGATTGTTGCCTTGCTACAGGTACAACATAGTATTCAGCCGCGGTCTGATCCGTTTCATCCTTGAAGTCGACTGTACGGTCAGCACGAAGTATGAACAAGAGATGGAGAGACGAATACCATACACTCGGAAGTAGTCTCAACCCAGACCTGATCGTCCGGAAAGGCAAGATCACTCTCGCCATACCTCGGGGGGCCCTTCCCTCGCAACGATGGATTTTGGCCATGTCGAAACGACACTTCTTCTGACTTGCCAGGAGCCGGCACACATTCGCGGCCAGATCGTTGACAGCGGAGACATTTCGAACCGGATTTATCACCTTTTCGAGTCAGGAATGGAGATCCGGTGGAATACGTTGAATATTGAAGACATACATTTCAGATGGCGTAGACGACAGGTGAGGCTAGAACACGTTAGCAAGATCCAAGCATCAACCTAGTATTTAATAGAAACTGACCATCCCCTCATTACGCCAGAATCACAAACGGGGAAAGCTTCCAGAATCAATCAACGGCATGCGAGGCCCGAGGGCATCTAGATAAATAAGACCAGAGGGCGGGGGGTTGGTAGATCATCGGGTTGCGTATGTACGTTGGGGTATTAACCAGCAACTACGTTTTGTTGGAGTTTAGCTCACGGAGCGGATCTCAAGTTTGGAATATACTGAAACTCGAATTGGTTGACCTGGATAGAATCTCTGGATGATACCCCGAATAGGAAAACGTCCAGTGCAACATTCCCCACCACACCAATGTCTGGGCAAATTCCTGCTAGATGTGGTTGGACGAGGGTCCCCCACAGGGCAAAGTTTCTGTCTCTTCGATCGTTAGCAACGATCCTTGCCCGAATAAGAAAGATCTCAGGCGTGTCATGTTAGTCGGCTTGTGTCGGGAAGTCGGTATAGGAAGAGTAAGAATTAGCGAGTCGCCTTGCCTAGTGAGTGTGCTGCGGAATTGTCATGGCCGAGACCACTTTTCCATTGAAATGACCGACGGGGGTGCTAAGGGGAGACAACATTGACAGCCAATAACACGTGGACGGGATGAATGCCGCAGGATTGGTATAAATCCGAGGTCAGGGCCAGAACCTAAACGGGCGCAACAAGCTTCAGCGGGCTAATATTAGCCCTTTGTCGCATTTTCATTTGCCAGAAGTCTTCACCGAGTCTGGTTGAGACCCGCGCTGAGAAATTTGCTGCTCGAGCGCTGCCAGAGCCACCATGTGGCTCTGGAGGAAATTTTCAGGATGGGATCGGACACGCCGGGATCGCTCGACAAATCCCGCAAGTGCCCCTGGTGGGTCTTCATTGCTAGGAAATACCGGCATTGTGGCATTGGGGCATTATGAGTATTGGTTAATTTCACTTGTGCCGTGGATGAAGCGCTCCGGGCCCGTCAAACCCTGTCGATCTTGGGGTGAGGTCTTCCCCGAGGCATTTGAAGCCGAAGATATGATTCGATCAGTATGCTCGACCTGCTGCAATATGCAAACCTAAATTAGAGGGCCAGGGGAGTGTGGGGGGTCAGTATCCAGCTGCCTGTTCGGGCCTGCTCCGGGATTTGATCAATTCTAAAGAAGAGTCAATGCTGACTAGAAATACTGAACTGTTGTAATGTTGACCTTTTTGAAGTTTTGAAGTTGAAGTGTGTAAGTCAGGTGATGGCAGCCTGGGAAACAAGGCAGGGGTGTTGATAACAGGTTTGTCATTTTGTCGAGTCTTATCAGCGCAGCTGCAACAGCTAGCAGCTAGTTAGTTCTGAATATATTCTGTTCATTCTGTATCCGCTCAACCCTCCTCTTCTCCCCATGCAATAACATGTCCCTCCCCCGTATCTCCTTCCTCGAAGGATGGGAGCGCACCCCCACCTTTCCCCGGACCGAATCCGACGACGAGGACTACCAGGATCTGCCCGAGGGGTCTGTGTCATCCTCTTTCCCCTCCACCTACAGCAGACTGAACTTCAATCCGTATGCGGGTCCGGCATGGAATGAGAGACCGGACGATCACGATGACCGGTCCACCTTTCTGGGACTATCTCCGACTACTACTCGCGAGGGACGTGCTTCGCCTGCACCTGCCCCTGCCCCTACAGAGGCACCTGCAGAGAGACAGCCTGCGGTACAAGTAGACGTACCTGCGCGTAAAGAACCTTGGGCAGATACCACGGGTGCTTATGAAGTAAGCGCTGCGCGGAGAATTGGTATGCAATGCTTCCCCCGTGGGTGGGGTACGCTTCATTGCTAACTGGTGATAGCCCAGGTCTGTACTGCGGTTGTATACTGCTTTTTGGCGGCCGGTATTGTGTTTGGGTTTGCAGCTCTCAAGCCAGTCCTTATTCGTGAGAATGTATATCGCGACCTTTGCACAAAGGCGGAGCTTGAAGAGGGCGTTGATGTATGCGATAGGCAGGAGATCAGGTAAGTAGCTCCATTCCCCTAGTATCCACTTCTGACAATTGACAGGTTGAATCTGATGTTCACTATCGCGGCTGTTGTAACCAACGTCTCAGCTCTGCCTGTAGGAACAATCCTAGACGCTTATGGACCACGCCTGAGTGGGATCATTGGCGGATTCTGCCTCGCCATTGGAGCACTGCTCTTCGGGACAGCACGCAAACTGCCATTCGATGGATACATTCCTGGTTATCTGTTCCTTGCACTGGGCGGGCCATTCGTGTTCATCACATCGTTCCATCTATCAAATACGTTCCCCGCACGATCAGGCTTGATCCTGTCCATGCTAACAGGTGCATTCGATGCCTCGAGCGCTCTCTTCTTGATCTTCCGGCTTCTGAACGAACACACCGATGGCTTTATATCAGTCACCAATTTCTTCGCAGTCTACCTCATTGTGCCAGTGTTCATCATCATAGCGCAAATCTTCATCATGCCAGCAAACTCCTACAAAACGGCAGGCCAGCTAGTTCAACATGCTGAAGCACAAGTTGCCGATGAAACAAACGACCATATAGATGAGACAGTCACTGACCGCGACGAAAGCGAGCGTCTCCGCAAAGATAGACGCCTCCGCCGCCAAAGCATCGTCAACCAAATCCAAAGCCTCCTAGACGACGGCACCGCCTCAATAGTCTCAGCCACAACAATCGACGACACAGTCTTCCACATCGACACCCACCTCTCCCCACCCCCCAAACCCACCCCACAACCCCAACCCCGACCCCCCTCCCAAGGCGGCGTCTGGGGCGTCCTCCACGGCCGCAGCGCCCTCAACCAACTCCGCACACCATGGTTTATCCTAATAACAGCCTTCACAGTGCTAATGATGCTACGGATAAACTACTTTGTCGCAACCCTCCGAAGCCAATACAGTTACCTGCTCACGCCCCACACCGCAAAAACAATAAACAGCTTCTTCGACATCGCCCTTCCAATCGGCGGTCTCATCTCTGTCCCCTTCATAGGAACATTCCTAGATACCTTCCAAACAAGAACCGTCCTCCTAATCCTCGTCTCAACAGCGTCCACTATCGGAATTTTAGGCTGTATCCCAAATAGTCTACCGGCAGCCTATGGGAATATCATTCTCTTCGTGCTATACCGTCCCTTCTATTATACGGCTGTCTCCGATTACACGGCTAAGGTCTTCGGTTTCCAGACTTTCGGCAAGGTATATGGACTTGTGATTTGTCTAGCTGGGGTTGGGAATTTCGCCCAGGCGGGTCTGGATGCGCTTACGCTTATTGTTTTTGGTGGGGATCCGGTTCCTGTTAATGTTGGGCTTACGCTTCTGGTTGCTGTTGTCGGGGGTGGGCTTGTTGGGTTTGTTTGGGTTATGACTGGGGTTTTGGAGAGGGAGAGGAAGGATGTTGTTGTGCAGAGTGGGGAGAGGGAGAGGGAGAGGGAGCCTTTGCTTGGTGAGACCGAAGTGAGGAGTTATGGTGCGTAAGTTTATGTTGATGTTTATGTTTATGTTCATATGTTTTATGTTGATCTATTTGCGAGAATTGTTTTTATACTCTGCTTTTAGTATATAGCTTGAAGCTCAACGGTGACCAATGAGCAATGAGATATGTTATCTAGCCATGTACAGGGAACAAACCCATATATACATACCTAGCTACTTTATCCAGCTTCATAGCCTCGTGAAACTAGAAGATGAGTAGAGGTAAACAAATTCCTATAAACATAAATCCAAACGGCCAAACCAAGCCCTGACCCACGCATCGGGTATAAGGTAAACAGCAAAAAAGGAGCACTCCAAACGTAAACAAACTAAAACAATCCAAAATTCCCATCAAAAGAAAGCGGGAACGTGAATAATCCCTCATCCATCATATTATTCAATGTGAAAAATGGATCTCCAAATCCAGCGTCTACACCAACCTCGGCCATTCCCATCGGTGGTGCCAGTTGTATTCCTGGCACTGCTGACATATCGGGATACCCCTGAGTGACTGTGGTATTTGTCTGGATATCTGGGTATGATTGTGATTGATCTGTTTGTGGATAGGGTTGATAGTATGATCTCGATTCGGGGGTTGGGTCTGTGGTTGGGAGGGCGGTTTGGGGTTGGTAGGATGGACCTGTGGGCCAGAGTGATTGGGGCATTGGTTTCTTTGGGTGGGTGAGAGATGGGTCAGTGTTGTAGGTGGACGTTGTGGGTGTTTGTATCGTTTCTGGACTTTGGTCTGTTGAGTATATTTGGCGTTGGGGGTTGGGTTGGGTCGAGGGTCGGTTGGCTGGGTCGCCCATTGCTACTTCGCTTAGGAAGTGGAGGGGTGTCATGCCCGGTGCCATCTGTGTTGATTTGGATGATGTCGCATTGTGGATGTTTGGGCTTGGATGTACCTGTTGTCGTGGCTGCGAAGATTGATGCCCGGTCGAGAAGAGTTCCTTTAATTCTCGGCCTTGATCTCCCTGGTCTCGCTTTTTGACAAACCAATTGCGGAGTAAGACCAAGATGTTTCCGAATTTGGCCAATACACGGCCTCCATCGCGCGCTGCGCCAGCGCGATACTGTGCTATCACTTTGTCAAGATAGTAATCCAGTTTGAGGCTCTGCACATCGAGAATCTGGCCTATGCGGCTGTCTGGCGACATGTAAAGTGAGTATAACTTGATCAGGCCAACCACTGGATATGATGTCCGAGCTATAGACGAGGTAGGCAGAGAAAGGAGCCTGTCGATCTCAATTGAGGTGATTATATCGAGACTCTGGTGAATGGAGCGAATAATGGAAGTTAAAGCATCGATGACAGCAGCAACAGATGCACTTGGCAAGTCACGCGGAGAGTTGTTTATGGCGTTATAGTCCAAGCTCATTACAGATTCGTGTATGAAGATATTCAGAACACATTCGGTATGAACCATCGGCCCTGAGAAGTATTAGCAGAATTCCAACCCTTACTCGACTAGACCCACCAGTGTAGACATCGCGTGGAACCTCAGCTCTCCACCGCGATAACCGATTCTCAAACGACTTGATCTCATGCCAGGCCGTACTATCTGCAAATGTGACAATCGAGCCAACGTCATCTGAAGAACGTACACCAGCATCTTCCATGATCCTTCCGAGTCTTGCCCACCATTTCAAGTTCCGATCAGAAGGCAAAGCATCCGGATGAGTACCTAGAATCTCAAGACATTCATCCATGTACGGTTGCCAAGTAACGAGATGCACACGTCTCAAAGCGGAGGCCATTCTAAAATAATTAGCATTCTCACTGACACAAGTGTATCAAGTGACACTCACTGGACAGATAGGTAATAGCAACCAACCCAAGTCCTCCTCGCCTCCGGTCCTTCAGGATCAAAAGCCGGGCCGGATGGCTTTTTGATAATCAAATCACGGATCATGTTGAAACCCTTTTTATTCACAGACATCCGGCGATTCATGCCAATTTCCATTGCCATTGTCACGGCCATTTGCGTCATTGTATAAAACTTAATCTCGTCGAAATTGTCAGGTGGCATATACCAGATAGTACTAACCATAATGGCCTGGAGTAATTCCAAGGTCTTGTGGCCCTTGACAACAACCTCCTCAGCAATCGAACGGTAGTGTTCATTGATCAGAGTAAGCTGTGCCTCGGGATTAAAGGTCCCAACAGAAACACCCATGATAGCAAGAAACAGAATCGGTTTCGTACGCCTCACCTCAGCCATACTCGTCCCAGGGGGAAAAACCACAAACGGACACTCCGGAACCATCTGATAAATAAACCGCCCAAAAGCCGAAGTGGCAGTTTTCAAATCAATCACACCGCGATCAATTATGTCAACAAACTCACCCGCAGCTTCCTGCCTCTGCACTTCAGCAACAGGTCGACGCCACAGCTTCGAAGACGGCTGACTAGAAATCTGCTCTGCGGATGGACTCCCAGGTCTCGAATACCGCGGCCCAAGAAGCCCAGCCCCAGCCGACTCCTTCGCCTCACCACCATACTGCCGCTTCTTCCCTGCCAAGCCCGAGCTCGACTCCCCAGAAAGCCACCGCCGACTAGTAGCAGGGTGATCTTCAAGAGACGGCGGAGCCTGCGACCCAGACCCAGATCCAGGACCAGCGAATAACGACCCACTCGCATGCGACGTCTGCAACGTCGCAGTCAACGCATCAATCTTCCTCTCCAGCTCCGCAACCCGACTATCGGTCTTCTTCTGGCGCTTCCGCGTCGGCGCCGTGACGACACATGTTCGCCGGGCTTTCGCGCATCGCTTACATGATCCATCTGGGTGTTCTGGATCTGGGTCACAGCGTACTTTTAGTTGGCGACAGGGCTCGCAGGCGCGAGAGCGTTTGGGATCGCCTGGGCCGTCGTTTGGGTCTGGCGATTGGTTGGCGGTGGCATGCTCGGCGCCTAGACTGTATGATGGTGATGGGCCCGCTAGGTGCCTGTGCGGGTTTAGGGCTGTGTGCCTGTGAGAGGGTGGCTCCGGGTATTCTGGGGCTGTGGTTGTTTGCACGTATACTGGCCGTTGGGGATCCCCGTCGCGGGCGCGCTGTAATTGCGGATCGATGTCCATATAGGGTGGATAGGGGGTAGATATAATTCAATGGGATATCTGTATATATTGCATGTATTAGCTTGGGGTCATTTTGGTATGTTCATCGCAATTTGATCTATAGCTGTATGGCTGTATACACGCACGCAAATGCGGCCACTCAACCACGCGGAGAACGGTGATCGCAAACACCGACCACCGATGTGGATGATCAACGGTCCCAAAGAACTGTGGGGAGGCCGGGGTTCATACAAAACAGATAAAAAGGACTGCTTACCTTTCTCTTGAATCACCTGGGCAGCCTTAGAGCTGTCTTGTCACTTGATTCTCTAGTGTGCAAAGTTCTTTCGAGGTCGACTGATGATTTCACGGGGTTAGCACGTGACTGATGTCAACCTGGACAAAGAACTACATTTATTATACAACAGCGTACTTTGGATTCAATTTCGGTATTGGTTCAATTCAGATCAACGCTCAGCTGGATATCAGAAACACATGTCCCAAGCGCCACAACGCGAACAAAGGAAACAGCAAAAAAAAAAAAAAAATAACCCAACAGCGGAAGATAATTTTCAGAAATTACTAGCAGGCCAGATCCATGCGTATCTAGGATAGTTTATGCACAGGGCATTCCTCCTTCCTATCAAACCAGTCCACAATGCAGTGACTGTGGAACTTGCACAGGCACTCGAGGCGGGCCAAAGCCTGCCCAACTTCATAGTCCTCCATGCAGATTGTGCACTCAGCTGGTTGGCCATCCCCACCAAGACAGTCCTTCTCCGTGGCCACGAACTTGAGCATGCGGGCTTCAGGTGGGGGAACGGGCAGTGGGGGGCCCTGCTCGGGTGATGATCGGTCCGCAGCAGCTGGTCGCAAGTAGCTCTCAATGCAGTCCCGGGTATGGGCTTGACGGGCCTCAATGGGATGCTCCGGGCTAAGAGGTGGGAATTGACGCCGGCATACCGGACAGAAGTCGGCCTCGTCAGGGGCTGGGCGACGAGGTAGACCGGCGTCACGGTTGGAAAATGAACGGAACTGTCGGGTCCCGGGGATAGAGGGCTGCCTAGTTTGGTTCAATTGGTCCAGATACTGTGGTCGGTCACTTGAGCCCACAGTGCGTCGTTCCTGGCGAGCATCGTGGATGTGATTATCACGCTGTGTATCATGTTAGCACTGATCAAGGCATGGCAGACATAGAACTAACCGATAGATTCTGGAATGTGACGGGCATGGTAGAGGAAAGAGAGTGAGTAGAACGATGGCCGGTTCGTACATTGCCGAAGCCCAGAGGATTTGGGTTAGGGTCTGGCACACAAGGATTGCAAAGACGTACTTCCTCGCCTCCCCCAAGTGCGGGGTTGATGGTCGATGAGGGTGTGGCAGGCTCATCATTGGTAAGATCAACAACTGGAGGATGTGATGGAACTGGTGAAGCTTCGAGAGGGTCGGAATCAGGAGGGCGGACAATGAATTGCCTAGGGATAGTGATACGATGCGGGGAACAAGAAGCGCATACAACTCTTCCACATTTTCGACAATGATGCTTTCTGTACCAGAAGCTGAAGACAGTCCCACAGATCGGACATTCAGTCACATCCGAATCAGCCTGCCAGGTTGGGAGCGACATGTCGATGAAAGCCTGGCTCTGGCTATTCGGATTAACAGGCATGGGTTGGCCAGACCAAGTGTAAGGTTCGCGTGTATAACGCCTGGGAAGTTGCCCAGAAGCAAAGGAACGAGGCGTTTCGGGGGGAGAAGAGGAAAGATCAATGGCGGTGGCATATGAAGAGCCAGCCGTGGCAGAAATCGAACTCCGTGTTCGAGACGAAGGCATCACCATCGAAACAGATCTATACGGTAACGCAGTGCGGGAGCTTCCCCCGTTATCTCGGGCTGGTCCGGCCAACCCTCCGTGTGACCACTGCCTGGTATCCTCACCAGTACTCGTCAACCGCCTTTTACGATCAGATCCAGAGCGGATAGGGAATGCTCGTGGCCTAGAGCTCCCTTCATACCCGCTATAGCTGGCAGAGCCATGCGCCTCTGGTCTTTCGCTCATTCTGCCAGCCTGCATCCTCGGCGGCGTGCCTGACTCAGTCGGGCTGGATGATGCAGTGCTCGACCCAGGCATATTATATTGTATCGTCCTTGTTTTATCGAAAACGGGCTGTTTCCCCCAGATGTTATCTAATGCAGGCAACGAGATCAATCTCGGCCGTCAGGGCGACGGGTCTTCATGGACCAGGTGGCGATAAGGATGAACGATGGCTGAACGGCAGGAATTTCGACGGATTTCGATAAATCAAATCAATGTATAGAAAGGACAGTCCTTTCTTGCAATCTCAGGCTCAGCCTCAATGACGTTGACGCCTTTTGCCGAAGATTGCATCCAACAGTGACAAGATAATGCTTATCATGGGGTCAAGATCGTGGTTGGGCAATGATGAGGTCTCGTGACTATATCCTCAGACACCGAGTTCGTGATATTGCTGCCGGCAGCTGAAAATGAGGTTTCTCAAGTTAATCAAATAGAAATCCCTGCAGGAGAAGAGGAGAAAAGGAGAGAAGGAGATGATGATGCAGCGTGATGTTTGGCTCTGTTATCGTGGGGCCGGGCGGTGAGGGCGGTGGCGACAGGCAAATTCGGCCCGATCTACCCGGCTATGGGGAGCCGCATACTCCGCTGTACATCTATGGAGTGATTCTATTGCAGTCATAGTTTACTGGGCTACGGTTGGCGTTGTGGTTGGGAGTTAACATGCCCTACTCAACTACTTGAAGCAGCGATGGTCTCCGGCGACTTATCTTTCGCTGGCAGTTCTTTCACGCGTAGCCGCAGGCTCCTTGCATGACATTGGCACTAGACAGAAAGCCACGCAGGCCCTGGCGCAGCCTGGTGTCAACTATCATTCAGGTTTGAACGTAACATTGAGCAGTATTTGAACAACGGTAAGTGAGGTCTATCAAGAACAGAGTATAGATCAAGAAACCGTGGTATGAATATATTCGAGAAAGCTGGAATTATATAGAAAGAAACTGATCCTCACGTATTATTATCTCAAGATATGTCCTGAAGGATTCATACAAGAATAAAAAATAGAAACAAAGATAAAGCAAAGCCTCCAAAGAAGAATGGTGGCATGAGTTCACCGACGGCAAAAAACCAGTCCCCGTTTGGTGTACCTCGGGATCACAATCGAAACGCCGTCGCAGCAATTTTAGATAGAGCAAGCAATAGATAGACACAGGAATGAAAGGAAATTCGTAGGCGTGTCATTATGGCGCCGGTTTTGGGAGTATGACAGTGATACGGAGGTAGATTGAGGCAGGTTGAGAGAGAGGGAGACAGAGAGAGGACGAGGGATATACGGGTCCAAAACACATCGTTTTGCATTTGTTTCTAGCTTGCGTGGTGTGCAGCTTCATCCACAAGTTCTGCCGAGCTGCCAGCAAAGGATGGCTCATCCGGGCTGGCTTCGTGAATATGATCATGTGCGCGGTGTTGCGCCACGTAACCCATACTTGAAGGCCGTTCGCCTCGTCGGCCACCCCGTCCCGTTCCATGGCTGGACGCTATTGACCTTGACCTGGAGGTGGAGGTCACGGATAGACCACGTTCCCGAGAAGGTGAGCTACTATCGCTGAACGGTAGTCGGCCGGTGGGGGATGATTGTAGGTGGCTCCCAGAATGAGCGGATCGTCTGTCCGGGTCGGGCTGTTGTTCTTGCGAGATAGTCTCGGTGACGACCGGAAGGGATGTCGAGGGTACATCTCCTTCCTCGGCGGGTGCTTGGGTATGGCGAGATCCCGTTCGACTGGGTAGCTCGATAGGGCCGCCAACTGATGTGTTGAGCTGCGGTAGAACCGGCGGGTGCGTCCCGCTTAACCGCGTGGATTCATGCTCGCCATCTAAATCTTCATAGGGAACATTTCCAGTAGACACATTGCGAGAGTGACTACCACTAGGAGCATCCGGATCATCTTGATAATGCTCGTTATAGTCCCCACCAGGTGGGAACAAACCAGGTGGAGGTGCCCGAGCACTTCGAACGACCTCAAATCCCTTGGCGCTATCCTTGGTCTTTCCTTGGAATAAGCCTCGGAACCAGCCTGTTGCAGATGAGACCGGACCTGTGGGATCAGCTGGACCGGTTTTCAACTTCCGCGTGCCGGTATGTGAGAGCGGGGGACCGCGGACGCCGTAGTAGAAATCGACCTCACGAACAGCGTAGTCTTTTCGTGATTGCCGTTGGTCATCTAGTTCCAAATCATCCTTCGCTGTTGGTAGATATGCCGGCACAGGTGTCGCACGGCCGGACATCGGTACATCTCCGATTTCATCGTCAGTATGGACTGCTCGACGAAGCGACCTTGATAAGAAGCGTTTCGAGGGAGTCTTGCTCGGGGCCTTGCCCTTCTCGAATGACACAGTACCTTGACGACCTTTCCGTCCAGGGCGAGGCGGCCGGTAGTAGGGATCTCGAGGACTCATTCCCATCATCGTACCGCTGCTAGGTGAACTGGGGAAACCAGGTCCAGGGTAGGCTGTTGACGTAGGCGTGGGGAATCCTCCACTGGCAGCACGACTGTGCGAGCCTCCTTGTGAGCTAGCATAGTCAAAGTAAGCACTGGCTCGGCCATCGCTGCCTGTGGCGCGGTTCAAAAGGAGAGCGGAACTGCCAGAGAGACTACGAGGACGCGATCCATCAAACTGGGCAGATAGACGGTCATCAGCGTGTCCGAGCATAGCAGCCTCTGAGCCCATGCTCTGTCGAGCGATATCGCGGCGTGGAGTACGTCTGGAAAGCTGACGCATACCGAACACCTTGGTGAGACCACCACGAGTAGTTCCACCGGCACCTGCAAGTCGGGCCAGAACTTCAATCAACGTCTGCATGGCATTGAGGAAGAATCCGAAGATAAGAACCATGGCATGAAGCACGAGAATTAAGTATCCAATCCAGCCTCGAGCGGCCTCCGAGACTGACAGAGACGGAACAAACACCACACTGAGAATGACAGTCAAGAAGCGCACAATAGAGAAGAGACAGTGGTAGAGGTTCATGTGAGTAGGACCGGAGAAAGGTCGGAAGGCAAGTAGTGTGAGCACGGAGACGACTTCACAAATCGCGAGCATGACCACCTGAGCGATACCGGATGGCTGCAAAGCACCTACAGCGACACCCCGAGCAATATTTAAGACGATTGGAACTGCGGCAAAGGCGGCCGCATCATCGCAATAGGTGTTGTAGAGAGGGCCGTACAAAAGCACCGTAGGCAGGTCATCGAAAAGGTGGGATTTAGGTCGTGTGGAGACAATGACTCGGATGAACCAAAGGGAGAAGCAGACAAGGACGACAATCACCAGAGCTGCCAGGGCCACACTGTAAGCGGGAGATTGGCCAGCTATGACCAGCTGGAAGAAGGAAAGGGAAACAATAGGGAAGAGAAGGTAATTGAAGACCATGCGGATAATGTTGCCCAGGGTAAACGGCAAATTTCTGGCGCGCAAATCCTGATCAATGTTATCTGCCAATTCACGACGAAGCCATCGAAGTCCAAATGCTATCTGAACCAGCAGCGTGACGCAGACCAAGATGACCAGAGTCCAGATTATCATGCCCGGCCAGATGTCCTGAGATGATTGCATTCCAACCAACTGATTCATTCGGTCCAGACCATACGTTCCATTGAGGGCATAGACCCCGTCGACAATCGGATCACGTCCACCGGGGTTGACAAAACTTTGATTGAACATGAGAGTCGACCACGCGCCTTGACTAACCGCAGGCTGGTAGAAACCCGGGTAATCCAATGAAAGCGCACCTGTCAATACCACGTACTGGAGGTACTGCAGACAATCCGCAAAGCCGGGGGTGACCAGACGGAGAACATCCTCGTCGCGGCCATAGTTGCTTGTCCACCGAAACAGATCCGTCGTCCCCCAAGGACTATACATGGCAGCAGAGATAGTGGCGATTCCCACCAGCAGCAGTATGACCAGAGGCACATACGCGATTGCATTTTTCAAAGGCTTGCCGAAATCAGGCGTGACTTTCACCGTCAAGCAGGCAAGCTCAGCTGCGGAGGCGTCGCCAGATCGAATCGTGAACGAGGGGTTGATGGTTCCGAAGCGATAGGTAGAAAGCATATCATGTTGAACGGAGAATGCGTGTAAGGTTGACAAATCACTCCTGCAAATGGATGGTTAGAACCCATGTTGCTGGCTAATCAATCATAACTTACATGTTGTAATTGAAGACTGGACCCATCGGTAGCGTGCCTTGCGTAAGCGAGTCGCGAAATCGTGAGGGATTGTTGAAAGGCGAAAAACTCAGTACGTTGAACGCCGTCAACAAAGTGGTGTACTTGTAGTTCGTGCTGCTCAGGTCCACGATCTTCCCGTCCGTCCAATTCGGATTTGTCCACTCCGCAGAATCCATCGCCGGATAGTCCGCCGTTCGAGACACGGTCCCCGATACATTTCCGTAGACCGTCACGTTGAGCGGGTGTAGAGAATTGGTGAGGTTGAATACGACGGAGACGTTGGTGGGGACGAATTGTAGTTGTAGAGGTTCCGATTCGAGGATTGTTTTCGGCAGACAGTTCTCAAAGTCCAGTAGGACTGCGGCAGCGGGGGATACGAAGGAAATCAGACAGACGAGCGCAATCCACCACGGGCTCCATGTTCGTCGGCGTTTGGACGTGTCGCGCCATGGCCGACCTTGCGAAACGTGTAATGCTTGTCGCGGGCAGCCGTGTGTCCGTCGAGCGGAGACTGGGAATTCATCCCTCCCAATCTCCGAGTGATACATGTCCGCTTCGGGCATCCGGGATGACCTCCTAGGGGAGGTCAACCCCCTGTGTAGATGATCGAATCCACGTTGTGTTGACAATGGGTCGGTGTCAGGGTTAGTCCGCATGCACCCCGGGGTCGAGTTCGAGGGGATCAGGTACAAGGATGGGCACGCTTCAAGAGCAAGACACCCGGACTGATAGGAATCACAACAGAACAAGTCAAGAGAAGGTGAGAAGGGAAAAGTGATGCTGCGCCTTGTTTGGTCTGGCCCGGTGGAGATGGCTGACTACTCGAGTTATGAGGTATGCGGTGCTAATAATAACTTATTTGCT